AGTATTAATTTTTTTTGCAGGTATAAAGACTGTGAGTGAAGTCTTTTAGCACACTTGCTAAGAGTGCTAAAAGGAACAGTGCCAGACTTCATCTCATAAGCAACAAAAAACTTACAATGATCACAGCATCCACTGCAAATGAAATCACAGCATCATTTTCTGTCATCTACTTTATTAATCATGGAGCACCCAATACAGGTATCACCTTATTTCTATCCCCATTCAAAATTAAATATTTTTTTTAAGTCTCTATCAATAGGAAGTTATATAAATTTTCATTCTCCTTTACAATAAACCTATTGAATATATTTGGAGTAATGTACTTCCCAAACTTTGAGAAGCACAGTCTATTACTCCTATATCACATATAAGAAAGCTCTTCATGAAATCTGTGTAAAAATTATATAAAATTATAAAAAAATTACATTAATCTGTTTTAAAATGTTAAAAATTATAGATTTTGCTATGGACAATAATGCTAGACCAGCATTTCAGTTTTCTTTACATTTCCTGCAATACCACACAGCCTTGACTTAGCACAAAAAACCTCTAGCTTCCTTAGGCTTGTGATGTTGAAGAGAATGACCACATTCTTTCCAACCTTGCTGGAGCTGGCTTGCATTTCCTTAGGAATTGCCATATTCACACAACCACCAAAGACACACATCTGCTGACACTCAGGGCAGGCAAAAAACAACACACTATGCAAGACAAGTTGATTTGATCTACACATTTCAATTAACTGCTTTTCTGTCAACTGCCTTACTGGAAAACAACACCAAGAATTTGAAGTCTCACTGTTGATGTGTGTTGCAAACCCTGAGTGAGGCTGGTTTTTAGAAATTTCCCAAACCTCTAAGGGTATGAGTATCTTGCAGATAATTGTATGTGCACGTACAAGAGTATCTCATGGCCCACTGTGCCACTACAGCATCTGTACTGGAGAGAGAGGACACACAAAAACAGTTCATGGGATTATCTGCAGAAGCACAAAGAGAGATTAATTTCTGTGCTATATATCACATCTCTGCCCAAAAGTGTATTTATCAGGGAAAACAGAGCCATCTCCCAGCTGCCAGACGAGAAGAGACAACAGCAAATAACTAACAGCCATTCCCAATGCCACCCTGTTATTCTGGCACAGACACAGCAGCGAAGTCAAAAAAATGAACTTGCTGAGACAGGAAATTTTTTGCAGCAGAAGCACCAGAGATCTTCTAAATAGGCTAAGACATTCAGAAATTAGTATTTGAAAGAGTGAACAGTACTTCCATAAACAATCAGTTCAGCAGTTTGTATGTTTTTTGTTGATGTATGCCAGTATGAGCAGGAGGTTTCTGTTTAGAAAAGAAGATTTAGATCAACAAGCTAACTTTTGTTGCGCCAGGCTTTCAAAGTGGAGGAAAGACAAGGGAAAACACACCCAGCAGCCATAAATTACTCCCAGTTCTTGGCTCCAATTAGATATCAATTTCCAAAGGACTTGAGTGGGCTGAAATAAAAAGCAGGGACTTAAACCACATTTATGTGAAATATTTGGCTGCATAAGACATTCAATGACAGTCTGCTTTGCTGTAGTTGCCTGGGATGTCCTGGGGTTGCTGTCTGTTAGAATATCTTAGAAATCCCTGCAGTAGATCATATGCAAAAGAGAAAGAGGCAAAATTAAAAACCTCCATGGAAATACCCTGTGGCTATTAGAACCCATTTAAATCCTTGCTTATAAGACTGTAAAAAAATGAAGGACAAACTGGATAGGTGTAATACTAGGAGAATTATGGTAATTTGAGAGTAAGAATTACTATAAAAACTAACAGGAAGGACAGGAAAAAGGTTCAAGTTAGTCTGAGGAACTGGGTAGTCAAAAACTCACCAGCTGAAAGCACTGAAAAAAAAAATTTTTGACAGATATGGAAGACACTGGGAACTGACCAAAAAAAAAAAGCCCCAGAATAAAACCCTCACTACTCTGCTTTCTGCAGATAAACCCAATGACTCTCCTACTGGCTGCAGTTTGCAGCTAGAAAGAAAATTTTCCTCAGCAACAAGCATATGCAATATCCCAATCAAGGAAGAAAATATATCCATAATGTTTTTCACAGACGCCTTATTTGCTCTTGCCAGCTTACACACGATCTTTCCCCTTTCCAATGTATTCCAGAGGCACAGTTTTAAGAGATTTTGCACATAGCAATAAAATGTATTCTGAATTAATGATGCTAAATAAACTTACATTTTGAAAAGGATTCAAGTTTTCCCATTTTACATCCTTCAGTAATACTTGTTCAAACCAAGCCCTGCCTTTTGCAGAGGAAATGTCATGGCTCCAGCACCTCCACACAGGATAGAAACAGTTTTAACAAGACACAGGGCTCTGTGACTGCAAAGAAACCCGGGTTTAAGTTAAGAAAAACCATGTAACCCAGACTTCTTCAATTTCCATGGTTGCCACCCATCCTAAGCAATGTAGGCATGCTGGTGGAGATCTCCACAGCACAGACACTAAACTAGAAATTTCACTTTCATGAACGGCCATAAAAAGAAACACAATTTTAGATCAGTAGGATTCAGCGCTATAGGGAAACTAACTAGGACCATATGAAAAAAAAAAATTAAATACAGTTCCTTCAACGTTTCCTGTCTTAGAAGGTTAAAAATTAAAAAAAAAAATAAAAAAAACCACAAAACAAAACAAAAAAAACCCAAACAAACAAACCAATGAAACCTCCAGCAATTTAAAGCCTTGATTCTGTGTTAACAAATGCATTCTCCACCTAAATATGGTGAGGGGAGATGTTCCTCATGGAGAGCATTGCAAACAGGGTATTTCTTTCAGAGTGAGCTGCAGGAGTTAAAACTTGCAAGTCAAGAGGAAGCAAAAGAGCTGGCAACGTTTAGGTTTCACCACGTACAAAATAACTGCAGAATTACAAATAGCAACTCTAACAAAATGAACTGCAGCCTTTGGGGAACAAAATTATGTGTAATAAGAATGCCTGTCCAAAGAATACAATATAATATGCTTCAATTATTTTGAAAAACTGCTGCTAAGCCCTTTTCTCTTTTGCTCATAGCCTGCTGTCCAGATTTCTAACACATTCTTGTCAAAGCAGCAATCCCAGGACATCCCAGGCAGCTAGAGTCTCTCTAAGAGCTAACCACTTTAAATGCAGAAAGACTCACCTAACAAAAACCTCAATTCTACAAAATGCAGAATTTGTATAAGCATCACTCCAAAAGGTAAAGCAGCTAATGACAGCTTTAGGAAGAGCTGCAGTTCTCATTTAAAAGTGGAGGTGCAGAGCTAACGATTAAGGATACAGCTCCTTAGGACAGCTGTAATCCTGTAAACCTGAAAAAAATTACACTGAATTAGAAATAATGGCTCATTTATCCCCACAGCTGTGTATTTATTAGTCAAAAACACAGCACACAAACATATTCTGCATTCACACACCTGCTCATCAGCACCTGAGTAACTTGCAGTATGTGATGACCAATTCCACATCCTACAACCTCGGGTGGCTACTGAAGTACCACCTCCAGCTTTATGAGCGGAAACTCCAGTCAAGGCCCCAAAAGGCACATGGACAGACTGATTCCTATCACCAACCACAGCATGAAACAAGCTGCACAGACCATAAAAAATATTGTATATTAATTTATTCAAAAAATTTCCACTTATTAAATAAACCAAATCTCGTATTAAACACTTTTCCCAAGTAGATTTTTCCTCAACATTACAGCATCTCTCTCTTTCACCTAGTTGGTGCAAAAAATTTAATTCCCAATGCATGCCACTGTCGTTCCATCCCACGAAGTAACAGACACGATCATTTTTTGCTCTTTCTTATTATGACAGTGGTGCCAAAGTAAGAGCTTTTCCTCCTCCACCTCCTCCTTCTCCTCTCATTTTTGGTACCTCTTCTTAAAGCTTTATCAGCTTTCAGTCTCAATTTAGAGCCTTAGAAAAGCACGAAGCTTGTCTGCAAAGCAGTACCCTGGAGAAGTTAGAGGTGGCAAACTGAATAGGCAGTGTCAGTGTGAGCTGAATGACAGTATAAACTCTCTCAGCGAGGTGCAAGGTGTTTTCGGCACGCCCCGGCTAAAAACTCAGAAGATTAAGGAGGCTAGGTCAGTATTTATCTTAAATTCCCTACTTAGATGTCCTCATATACAGCCATGAGAAAGCAAAGAAGGGCTACTTGCACTAAGGAATGTGGGGCAAATTAATGCAATGGAATTTTGTAATAGGCTTGGCGAACAGTGTGAGAAAAAATATATTGGGGAAAAGTAGAAAGTTCGTTTCGTATAACTCAACTCCACCCACTGCCGCACGTTTCGAGACATGGGTCGTGGAAGCTGCTCAGTAACAAGCGCCAGATCGCCCTGGACTTCCTCCTGTCACCACAAACCCCAGCAACTTCCTTGCTATGGGAGGGCCCCGGACGCAAGGATGGGCTTCTGCCGTGTTCCATCACAGCGGTATTTCCAGACATACACATGGCATATCTCTATTATTAAGAACAGTAAAAAAGGATTAAACTGCCTCCTCTCCCAACAATTAGGAGTCGCTCAGGATTCTTAGCGACTGAACTACGCGCCAGCAGATCTTTAAATTCATCATCCGTCTGTTTGCCTGTATTGTTCCTAACCACAGAAGCCCTGGCACTTCGCAAAGCCCGGAGAAGCTCAAAGGCAGGTGGACTTCAACACTTCATCTACAGGGCAGCAGCAGCACCACGACAGCCCGCAAGAGAAACTTTTTTTTTGCCCTCGCGTTTTACTCCCGGCTGTTTACAGAGCAGCCCGTGAGTCACCCGGGCAGAGCCCCCTGCTCGGCCCGCCCTGAGGCACCGCGCCCGCCCGGGGCCAGCGAGGGGTGACGCTCGTCCCGGGCTCTGTGCCCCGCCGCACCCCGGGGCACGGGCAGCCGTAAGGGGCAATTCCGCCCGTCCCCGCCGCTGTCCCGCGGGGATCCTCGCCCGCTCCCGTCTCACCTGAGGCGCCGAGGGCGGCGGGCAGCCATCCCGCCCGCCCAGCAGCGCCGGCAGCTGCCGCCTGCCGCCGCGCAGCGCCCGGCGCAGCCCGGCCAGCATGGTCCTGTGCACCTCCGCCTCCTCTGCCCCGCCGGGTCCGGCCCCCGCCGCCTTAGCCTCGGGCCGGCGGCGCCGCTGCCGCGCTGGGCGTGGGCGGGCGGCTCCGCCCGCGGCCGGGGCGCCGTGCGCGCCTTCCCCCGGCCCCTTCCCGCCCGCCGCCGGAGGGGCCGTGCCGTGCCGTGCCGCTCCCGTCCCGCAGCTCGGGCGGTCGCCGCTGCCCGGCCGGGAGCTGCTCTCGCCCCGCCGTGCCCAACCCACCGCCCTTTGCTTACAGGTGCTGGCACTCCTCCTCCGCGTCCTTCCTCTTCTTATAACTGAAACAGTGTTTACATTAAAAATATTAAAATAGCGATTGATGCCTGTCTTACCAGAACATCTGGCTCCTCTGTCACTGAGTATTGCCCGCTGCTCCTGGGTTTCAGTGAAATAAACACATTCAGGTACCACAGAAATGAGCAGCAAAGCAACAGAACACGCTCCTGTAGTTAGTCAGTTTATGTGAGAGTTTACAGCAGCAGAGCAATTAACAAGGCTTAGCATTTTCCTACTCAGTCCTATTTGTTGGGTATCACCTCCATGCCCACAAACACGGGTTTTCATGTTCAGTACAAACCACTGAAGGACTCTCAGCAGACCCTCGGCACTGCATCAGGGAACCATACTGGGAAGCTTCGTTGTATTCCTCTGCTTTCTCCACCCTTGCTGGTGTTCCTCCAAAGCAATGCTGCACAAAACAAAACCTTCCCTGAGGATGAGAAAAGGATCTCAGAAAATGGGCTGCTGTAGAGCTGAAAGTGCCACTGTCATGGAAAAACTCTGCAACTGCACACTTGATGGCTCAAGGGGACTAAATTAAGTCCCCACTTGTGTTCATCTTCTGAGCTCTGGAACAGAAACCTCCAGCAGCTTAGACTTTAGGTCACGTAGACATTCACTCACACTTCAGGGCCACTGTGATCTATTAAAATGAATGTGATCCCAGGAAACAGTAGAAGAGCAGCTGTGCTGTCAGCAGGCAGTGACTCCCAAAGGCATCAATTTGTGCTACAATCACTATTAGTATTTACTATAGCAAAAATTCTCTGAATTTTTTTTAGTAATTTCCCTTTACGAAACTGAATTAATGTCTCAACCTTATGTACCTTATTTCATAATTTATATTAGGATCCACAAAGTTCCCAAAGGTGAAATAAGGATTAAATGGTTAACTATATTAATTCAAGATGTAATATTTATGGTTTTATCAAGCAAAGGTAATTAGGTCATGGCAATCGTCTTTCCTTTTTTTAAATACTTCTATCACATAATGATGGCTTAATCAAAGTTATCTTCTTTGGAGAGGAAAAAAGTGTCGGGACTAGAAAACATAATTTAATTTTGGTCATTGTTCAATGCTGTATTTATTTTTTGTATTTTGTTTTAAAATGTTGATAAGGAGCAAAGAAGCACTGACGCTCTCAGCAACTTGTGGATGTTAACTTATGGAGGGGATTTGGAATCAAGGCTTATGTTTTTATATACAGGCAGGAGAATTAAGAGAACATTAGTCACTGCCAAGTTTAAATGGGTGACTTTGATGCTTTGAAAAACCTATCCTAAATTTACCTTTCACACCTGTGCAAATGTCTCATGAGGCAGCTCCTGCTTTTCTGGCTAAGCAACATGTTTTGTGTCTTACAGTTTCCACTGCAAGTACTCCCTGTTCACTGTAACTTAGTTGGGTTTTTTTTAAATGATATCTCAAAATGCATTTTCTTGTAGTTCGGGTCTAAATGAATGTCACATATAACCAACACTTGACAAAGAAAACCCTACATAAAATTATCATTGTGTTTATAACCGCTAAATACCATACAAATAAAAAGTGCTGTGAAACCTCACTGTGGGCACAGACACCATTAAAATGCCTATATAATGGAGTGAAATGCATAGTTTCTTGAGTGTAACTGCTAAAACAGGGTCTCAACCTGAAGTGTGTTCGAGTGGGACAAATTTTAGAATGACTTGGCAGTTCCCAAATTTTTGCCTGTTCCCCTCTCCCCTTCCCCCATGCTTACAGTGTAGTTGGTAACTAAGTTAAATTATATTAACCTGAAACTATCTTTGAAGGAGTTTTCTTGTTCTGTGAGGTGTAAGTTCATCTCTTCCCTTCTCGTATCTATGTGTTCTGCCAATAAGAAACAGCACTTCAAGGGAAGTGACTGGTGTTCTCTTCATATCATGCAGACATGACTGGCCACAAATCCAAAAAGAAAATTACTAGGAAAGCAAACAGATTGTTACAGACTTAAGACTTATGTTTCAAGTTATATTCTCAGGAGTATTTTTTAAAGACAGAGCTATTTATTAAAATAAAGCCAGAAGGAGTTCTAGGAAACTCTGAAATGAAGGGGGAATAAGAGGGTTCCAAGTGGAGAGGGGTCTGTCTCATAAGTTTAATTCATTTCAAAATAAACTTTATAAGATACGACACAAAGACACAAATAACCTTCTGAATTAAAAAAAAAAAAAGTTTCCCCCGTGCCAAATAGCAAGCCAAAAAGAGAGTCTTAACATGCCTCACCAATTGGATTGTCAGAAACACACTCCTGCAAGGGCAGAGATCTCTACCCTCACTATAGGGAGGAATGTGACTGAAGATGATGTGCATTATATTTCAAATACATTGTGCATTATATTTCAAATACATACAGAAAGGAAAGGCACACAGACTAATTACAGGGTGATAACCTTCATTAGCCAGCTATAGAAGTCCAATGACAAATTTGATCATGACCCCAATTATAGGATGACGCCCCCACCATTCAAGGAAACAAATATGATCAGATGTAACTTCAGCCATGATTACAGGGAAGCCAGAGCTCTTTTCCTCATCCTCTGACTTGTTTTGTTCATTACAGTTCTTTAAATGCTTCCTTTTTTGTTCTCAGGTACCTTTCCAGAGCTGGTGGGTGACACAGAGAGAGCAGAAAAAATCTGATGACAAAACCTAAAAGTCCCCCAACAATACCAAACCCACAGCAGAAAGTTTGACGTTCTTCCTCTAAGACTGTTCTATTCTATTCTATTCTATTCTATTCTATTCTATTCTATTCTATTCTATTCTATTCTATTCTATTCTAGTCTAGTCTAGTCTAGTCTAGTCTAGTCTAGTCTAGTCTATTCTCCTTCAGTAAGCAGGATTCAACATATGCCTAGGACAAAATTTTCTAATGCCTCTTACTTGAAAACCAACAGTTAGAAGTTTTTCTTTTAACTCTTGCACACTACAGTTCAAAACAGAAAATATAATGACATAGAATAAAATTCGGAGATATCTTCCAAAAAGCATGCCTATACTCAGATTTATCTTGCATCTGGTAATGAAAAGCTGCTGCAAAATCCCTCCTCTTCAGCAGCAAATATGAGGTAAGATCTCAAGCCTTGCTTGCAGAACTCCAGGTAAGGTCTTAACAAGTCATTAGTAAACAGCATGAATTTTCCCAAAAGTCTCAAGACTGAACCCCAAACTCCAATGTTTTCATGAAGAGGGGACCGCTTCTAGACATGCATCAGCAATGTGCCATTCTGTGTAAAGACAAGACTTTTTCATCAGGGAGAAATTATGCTCTCTCCCATGGCACAGAGCAAAAAAAAAATCTCTCTTCAAAGTATAAAAGAAGAGCTCATTGCAAAATATTACCTCTGCCAGTGCTAATATACTAATCCTTCAGCTCTAGTAAAGAAAGAGTGAGATGAGACCTATCACCGCCTGGCATAGAACACAAACAAAAGGTCTGTATTTTTTACAGAGCAGGGGATCATGACAGTAAGATTTCCTAAATAAACTGCTGGAAGGCATGATATCATATGGGGAAATACCTGGACTCCAATTACAGAGAGAAATTCTTACTCAAGGCAGAAGTGCCTAGAGATGGAGGCTCTCCTATTAAATACACTCTTATTACAGAGTTGCCAGGCTGTCTAAATCGTAGTGGAGTATTAAGTCAGCACAGCAGAGACCCGAGTCACAATGAAAGGGAGACAGCATCATTTGCAGTCATTGCTTTTTCCTTCCACTTCTGAGTCTTCTTACTGTGTCTCTCCTTTTGCTTAGACTTTCATATGTGGTTCCTCTGGCTTGTAAATATATCTTTGAAGTGGTTGCATGACTATGGATGGAGGGAGCTAGTGGGATAGTGGGGAGACAGGGTAGAACGTCCCCTCTGGCTACCACTGCATAAGGAAATCAGCCTAATCTGCCTAGGGAGCCACAGCTCCAGGGAGAAATACACAACAAACATGCCAGAAAGATATGGGTGGAGATCTCCCATTTTAAGTTTCAATTCTGGAGCCATTCCAGGCCCAGCTTGTGCTCAAGGCATCTGTCATCAGACAGCAGCAGCACGATGGAAAAATTCAGCTGTTTCCTTTTCCCTGGCTAAACCACAAAGCAGAGCTTAGGTTGTTTCCAGGCTTGGTTCCTTCTGCACCACTCTGCCACAGAGATGGAGCTCAAGTGTTCAGCTTGGCACCTGCGGTATTAAAGAGATCATAGAAAAGTGGTTTTCCCCACTCAGGCAGCCTTAATGACCTACACTACACCTGAAAGACTGATGGCTTAAAACAGGAGAACATGCAAATTTAATGTCATCAGTGCTGAATAGCAAACAACAGCTGTTCAGAGCAGAGCACAACCCTTGTGGTGAGGGCTCCTCAGTGAAACCTCTGCCTAAGCATTCCATGCTAGTAACTGAGAGTGAGTAATGGCTACACACAGTTCGATACACACCACTCAAATACACAGAATGTGGAAGCAAGGGGAAAGAGGGGAACTGAACGAAACACTTCACATTCCAAACCTGCAAACAGCAGTAACAAATGACTCCTCAAAGTATATGTTCGTTATACCAGAGAAAGTAATGCACACCCACAGCAGCATGTTCTTTTTGTTAGTTTGCATTAAGTCTTTTCACACTAGTCATTACAAATGACCACCAGAGCCACAGAGTCACAACCATATTCAGTCTAAAACTTCAGACATCCTGTTTTATGCAAATACTCAGGCATCTGAGCATCCCCTCCGACCCCCATGCCTTCCCAGGACATTGTACTCCATCTGCCTGTTCTGCAGAGCCTAACAGGCAAACAAGAATATTGCTACAAAAACAGGGTTTTGGTAGCAATATTCTTGTTTGGGTAACAGTCCCTCCCTTCAAGGTCTGCCCTGTTACTGTTTGAGGCTGAGGAAGAAAGGCTGCCAGAGGCA